TTTTTATAAATTTTTTTATAAAAAATATTTAAACTATTTTTGAAGTAATTTTAATAAAAATTCTAATTATTTTTTTAATTTTTTATAGATATTAGATCTGATGGTCATATCAAATCCAAGAGCTTTATATCTAATAATCATGTTAAACCTAAAGTATTTTAATATGGTTAATCCAGAGCCAAGAAATTCAGATATGACTAATATGCTTAATTTAACAAAAAAAAAGGATAATTAAATAATTTAGTTTTCATGAAAAAGAAAAAAAGAAAAAATAACTAGAGAAACATAAAAAGATAAAATTAAAAATTAAAAATAAAATTATTATTATAATTTATAGCACAATATCTCTTGATTTACCATGATTTATATACTGCATTTGACTTTTATTATAATTGCAATACGTTCCTTTTTAAGTATTGTAATATTATATGAATTATCTAAATGTTTAAAGATTTTGATAAAAAAAATTAAGGCCCGAAAGTGAGTGCAGGCAGGCACGCTTGTTGTTGACTAGGCGCTGCACGGGTGCTGGCCGAGTGCTAGCTAGCGGCCGAACCAAAAGGCCTTTTAAATAGTGAAAAGTAGAATTTTAACTCTAGACGCTACTAGTTCTAGTTATCAACACTTTTAAAAATTAATTTAAAAATAATTTTTGGGCATCAGGATTGCAAAAACCCCTTTACGTATCCCAAGTCGCCGTGATATAAAAATATAAAAAGAATAATAATTTGTTTTTTAAAAAAATCGAATCCTACCCAAGAGTCTTCTTTTTCCGCGGATGACACGTTAAACCTGGGCTCCGAGACAAGATAAAAAATCAAATCAGTGCAGAAATTATTTGCTAAAGTCAGGGAAAAAAATTCAAAAGCAGCCAAGCAAATGCTAATAACTATTGAAATCCTAACATGAAACCTTAGAAAACATATATAGGGACTAAAACTGAAAAAAAAACTTTGGGAATAAACTATAATTTTCCATTCTTCATAAATAATAAAAAAAAGAAAAAAAAAAGGATTTTTTGTTTGTGTGAAACTTGGTCGGCACTGTATATATTTTTTTGAATTGATAAAATTAAATTAAGTTTTATAAAATTAATGATCGATTTAATGCCATGGTATTTTTCTTATATCATGAAGACAGCACCACAAGCAAACCAAACCCTGTTAAAATTATGTGGAGAGAATGAAATTGGAAAAAAAATGAATAATTGATTCAGGATAAAAAAAAGAAAAAGCAAGTCGGAATTAGATGCACTGACTGCAAGTAGGATAATTGTCCATAATTGCTTGCTTTTCTATCACTGTCACTGCATAAATTCCAGCTTTTCTGTTCAAAGAATTTCAGATCTTTTGTCCATGCATGTATTTGACGCTAAAAGTTAATCAATGACTACACGAAAAGCTTTTATGTATGTGTGCGCGCGTGCGTGAGATGATCGTCAATTCAAAAAAAAACAAAAAAAAACAAATCCAGCGTAGTTCAATCAATAATTGATGCATGCAGATGATATATTGATTGGTAGTGGGTATTTTGCTTTCCATAACATTATTGGACTCACTTTTCTCCTTGAATGCATTGTTAATACCTATGAAAATTCAGTAAAATCCCATAAAAACTCAGAAAAAGCAAATTAGGTTTTGCCAGTTTTTGTTATAAAAAAACCACACCAAATTAAAATTAGTTGGTTTGAACTGATTTCTAATTTAATTTAGTTATGAATTTTTTTAATATTTAATTTATTTTTAACCAAAAAATCTAATCTATCAAAAAAATAATTAGACTTTTTTGGGCCTAATTTTAAAAGATCTAATAGTCTAATAAATGACAGAGCAGCTTTCAAAAACAAAAACTTTTAAAATCTTCTATAAAAATTTGATCTCAACCAACCGTCAACTTGTTATCTTCGTTTAAAGTCACTACTCTAATATAGCATGACAACACATTCTTTTAAACTAAGTCTTATCTCAATACTAGTTTATAAAAGCATATATTAAGTCATTCAAATAGTATATATATGACACATCCTCATGTAGATAATCAAAATTTTTAATTTCCACAAACCTAATTGTATCATTTAGGTAATACATAACTGAATCGATAACTAAAACCTTATTAATTGCATTAGATTTTGGTATTCAAAATTTACACTCGTCAAGTTTTGAGTCAGATATTAATAATGTTTTAGGTTTGAATTCAAGTATAGATAATACAAAAACCTAACCCGTGAATACATATTATCATTCCTTTATAAAGATTCAATGACTAAATTAAATTGTTATATATGTGCGGTGTCGTGATGAGTCTTCCACTTTCATAGGTTTGTCTAGGTAATTGGGAAAATCAAAAAGATAATAAATTCTTATTTTTTATCAATAGAAAGAGGGAATAAGAGTTACCAATTAATATTTTGATCACTATAAACCCTAACTGATCTCAAAAATTAAACACGGGGACTGGTTGCATAAAAGAAAGATATAAGTGAAACTCTAACTGATCTAAAAAATTAAACACGAGGACTGGTTGCATAAAAGAAAGATATAAGTAAGGAGATATACCCTAAGGTCAAATTGTTGGTCCGTCTATGGTTTAAAAAAGATCCTTCTCAGTAAGGATATTATTATCTTATTGAGTAAAACATAATCATTCTAATATTAATAAAAGGAACTAGCTTTTTAATATCGCTGATTCATTTTACATATGAGCTCGTAATCCTTAATATTAAAAGAAAACAAATTGATTTTTTTTAGAATTTTAAAAATATTCATCTAGTTCTCATGACCTTAATAAACTGATTATTAATATCGAAATGCATGCTAAAATATATTTTTAAAATTTTGATATATGAAAAAACAATATGATTTTTTTTTATAGACTTCGCCATATGCATAAAAACAAGATATTTTTTTGTTGTTTATAATTTTTTACGATATGTCGATGAAAAGTGGTTATTTTAATATCATATTTGTATCTTTATGGTATAAAAATATAAACCGATAATAATTAAAATAGATAAAAATTAAAAAAATTAAAAAGGATTTGTATCGTATAAAAATACAAACCGATAATAATCAAAATAGATAAAAATTAAAAAAATTAAAAAAGATTTTTATAATAAAAAAATTGGATTGGGTTGGGTCATACTTGTCTAGCTTAGTGGGTAGTGGAGTACTCTCCACTATTCACGTTGACAATAAAGAGTGAATTAATTCACTCAGTGAATAGTAAAGGAAACTGAAGAAGATGAAGGGGAGAATGAGAAAGAAGGAAGAGGGGTGGACCTGCGATGGCTTTATGGCGGTGCTACTAGTGGGTACTGACTAGAGAGTTGCTTGGTTGGTGGTTGGTTCTTCTTCTTTTTTGCGTATTTTCCTTCTATTCTTCTTCTTTATTTTCTTTTGTTTTCTTTTGTTCTTCTTTCAATCTCCTCTTTATCTCTATTTTATCTTGTTCTTCTCCTTTTATTCTATAGTAAAGGCGAAGGCAATGGCACTAAAGGCAAGACAATGATAAGAGGCGGTTGTTGCAATTTTCTTCTTCTTCATTGTGCAGAGGCCCCAACCTCTATTTTTCTTGTTAGTTGTTCTTTTTTTTTTTTGTATTTTTTGCTAACTCTGTTTTCAATGTAGTCATTCTCAATGACAACAGTGTTGGTGGTGAAATGAAGGTGGTCGTTGTGGTGGTTCTTTTTTCTCTCTCTTCTGCTTCTCCCCTCTATTCCTCCTTGTTTCCCACAAACCTCCCCCTGTATTTATTAGAGGCCAGGGTAGAGGGTCACTATATTTTGTCCAAGTGCAGGGCATGGTGACCGGGGTATGGCTCATCTTTCGTTCTCATTATGGTGGCATGGGCATATAAGTCCGGGTTTTGTCAGGTTTGTGCAAGTGGAGGGAAGAGAGAGAGTAGGAAAAAACATTCAAAATCCTTCTTCTTCCTTGTCTCTACATTCATAAGGAACAAAAAAAATACACAGTGTCGTTCAAAACAATATTATGTAATTTTTTTTTAACGGTACATAAAATGAATTTGAGGAATAAACAAAAAAATAGGTTATGAAAACTTCTTATTTAAGAAAAATATTTGAACAACTTAAAAAATTTTGAAAATTATTTTTTAAAAAACACATAATTTTTCATAATATTAAGGAAATAAAAAATTGAAAACTATAAGTCACAAAAATTCTTAGAATATTTAGGAAATATATAAAATCCATTTGGGTATTAATTGGGCAAAACCACACACTCATTTGTATGCTAAAAAATAAAAGCGAGAGAAGTTATATCCAGGTTGGATCCTAGTCAAACTAGGTTAATATCCATCTCAATCTCAATTAGACAGGAGGGTTCCTAATATCTGTTGAGTGAAGATGTTTTCATCCCTAATTTTTATAAGGTTCTTGGATAACATAATATTAGTCCCCTATCTCTAATTGTTTTTCAAATTTGGTTCCTAATCTAGTTATAATTTTCAACCAACTAGTCCCAGGAATTCTCAATTGGATTTGTCCATAAAAAATTTGCTTAAAAATTTTCTCAACCGAGTCCACACCTAAAGATGACTAAGTATATTCGAAGATAAAAGGATCCGATTGATAATTCCTAGATACTTTTTGGACCCAATTGCTTAAATATGTAGGTTAGGGACACAACTGAGAAAGGGTAATAGCGAATAAGTTGGGTGCGAATATGAGAATATTATCCCCTTTCTAAAACATTCCAAGGCATCTCTTCTTGGGAGAAGATTTATTAGAGTTTGTGGAGGAGTACATCTTAATCCCATCCGAATGAAATTAATGTAGATCAGAATTTTAATTCCAATCGGTGGCGATTTAGTTTAGTAAAAAGAAAAGATCAACGGAGCATGGTTTTCTCAACAGACAATACCATGACTAGGGCACGAATCAGAATAAAACAATTTATAAGGTGCAAAATGATAAGGAAAAAAGGCATTTCTTACCTATATTTTATAGCTTCATGTGAACAAGGTTTAACAAAACATAAAATGAAGAGGAAATCAGTAGAAGTAAAACAACGTAGCATAAGTACATATATAGTAAGAATAATATATACTACGTTGTTCACATTATAGAACAACCATGGGGGTTTTGATCGCTGAAAATAATTCTTCAAAGTATAGTTCTTATATTCAAATTTTTTAAATGCAAATTATTTGATAAGTGCTAAGTTATTATATATTATGATTCTTTTTGTCTTAATTATTAATGTAGACAATAATCATTTTCAATGAAAATAAGTACTCTCTCCCTCATAATGATGCACTCTCTGAGTTTCCAGAGGGATATGGTGTGTACTCAATTATTAGAATTATTTTTTATTCTTCATTGAAAAATTAAGCACAATTCTCGTATAGATTGAAAAAAAAAAAGGATCGATCAAATCATGAGAAAGTAACTTAGTTTATTTTACTTTTGAAAACACATTTGTTCAAATGAATGTGAAGATTTTTACCTGAAGGGCACATAAATTGGCTGATGCTAAATCCAATTGGAATGTGTAGTGACCAGTTGGGTTCACATTTTCTAGTTCAAATTTAATCTGCCATGTGGTTGGAATTGAACGCGATGTTTCCTTCATCCCTACGATGCAAAAAGTATATATATCACAGGAGAACCAGTTAAAAGTTAGGGAAAGTGTACAAATATGTAGCCATGCGTTTAACTAATATAAAGAAGAGTATATTTCTTGGAACTGAGAAGAGTAATTACTCAGGTTTTAAGTTTATTTTTTTTAAAATATTATATTAAATTTTATGAATATTAGTATCATTAAAAATTTATATATTCATTAACTTTAAAATATATAAAATTAATTAAGATATATGTAAGATAAATAATAAAAAAAGAAATATATATATTACTTGGAACCTGAGCAGAAAATAAATAAATAAATATATATTACTTGGAACCTGAGCAGAAAACCAATCTCGAGTTTAATTGCTTGTACCTACGGTATATATCACATCATTCTTCGGATCAAACTGTCTATATATGTGCATGGAATCCAATGTTATTGAATTAATAAATATAAATATATAACACTATTTTATACTTTTTTCTTGGATTGATTTTGATGGTTAATTAATATGATATTTCATTAAGGTTCATCGAATGATTATAAATTAAAATCCTTTTATATACAATAATTCTTGATATTCATTCAAAATTTAACCAATGTTCTTGGTTGAATCGTTTTTTTTATATAAAAAATAATAAAGAATTTATATGTGTATACATTGGTAAATGTTAATTATACACACACAATATATGTCATGCATATCCACCCCTGCACCTTGTTATATTTGCTTTCCGTAGCGGATATATATATATATATATAAAACAACGTTTTTTACATCATGGGAATAATTTCTAGGCATAATGGGCCTGGCAACAAAATGGCTAAAGTCGGGATTATGGATCGAGTCATAAGATCCAAAACGAAGTTGACTTCTCTTTTTAACTTCATGTGATTTCTAATTCCATCCAATCTTTCCTTTCAAATGGACTTTAACAAATAATAATAATAATAATATAAGTTTTTGACGTTAATTATGATATAAAATAGCATAAATTCCTTTACATATCCAAAGTCTCCGTAGTTTAACCATTTTTTTCTTGCTTTAAACAATATATATAGATATAAATATATAATATTAAAATCAATTTCTATCAAATGTGTTAAAATAGTGTGTTGACAAAGCATTTTTATTTAAAACAGAAGCTATCAAGATTTGATTCTTCGTTTAAATAAATTTTTTTAAAATTAAACGATCAACTCCTTAACAATTTAATTTCGAATTAAAATCCCATTAAATTCTAAATCAATCTTCTTTACTCGATCAAACGTAGAAACTATGATTATCAAAATAATATAAAAATATATAAAAAATATTAATTTAAAAATAAAAACTCAAATTCTACCCAAGAGTCTTCTTTTCTGCGGATGACGAGATTTTGAGCAATGCGAAACACGTTGAACTTGGGCCCTGTTGACAAAAAAGAAGGGGGTACGGAACAGCAGTACATTCGAATCAGTTTAAGGACCAGACTTGTGTTCTTTGTATTTGCTCTTATTTTTGTCTGAGTGCGTTCACTTTCCACCGTGTGAACATGTGATAAACGTACGGACAAGATAAAAAATCAAATCAGTCCTCAAATTATTTGCTTAAGGCAGTGAAAAAATTCAAAAGCAGCCGCCAGCCAAGCAAATGCTAAATCACTAGAAAAGTTTACCAATCAGAAATATTTATGGGACCAAGAAATCTTTGCACGGTCTCATTTTGGGACCATACCATGTGGCCTTCAAGAGTCCTTTTTTTTTTTTTTTTTTTTTAAATTGTGGTAAAAGGTTTTTAAATATAACGCAAAAGATAAAAATATTTGAAAAACAAAACATTTTAATTTATCCATTATTATAAAACTCTATTTTATTTTACAATCATTAATAAAAATAAAATAATAATAATAAACACCTATTATTATCATTAGTAGTTATATTAATAAATTACTAAAAATAATAGTGATTGTAAATAGACACCATAGAATCATATAGCGTGTTATGTTGATAACAAAATCAGTTTTTTTTATTATCAAAATATGGATAGTAAAACATTTTATGTTTATTTTTTTTGATAATTTTATTTTTCATCTCAAATTATAATAATTAAAATATAAAACAAATAACTGAGGTTTAAGACTCTAACATTAAACCCTAAAAAATATATATGGGGACAAAAAATAAAAATAAAAACTTTGAGAATAAACTATAATTTTCCATACTCCATAAACAATAAAAGAGAATTTTTTTTTATTTGTGTTAAACCACAAGAACATTCAATAGTTTTACAGACGGTATATTTCTCTAGGCGTAAAACACATACTATGTCGGTAAAAGTTTTACTAACAACATTACTGATGGAAATCGTCTGTCAGAATATTGATAATTGGTAATTCTCATTTTTGTCGTTATTTTTATGGGTAAAAAAAAAAAACACCGACAGTGGGACAAATGAAAAAAGCACGCTAAAACAAACAAATTCTTGCTAAAAAGATATTGATGGACTAATTTCGTTTGTATTTCCCACGGTAACTCACCGGTGGACTTTTTGTAGGTGATTATGACATAAGCAATAAATATTTTACAACTCTCTATAAAATACCAATGGTTTGTGTCCGTCGGTAACTGTTGTATGGACAATAAATATTTTGCAACTCTCTATAAAATATTGATGAATTAGGTCCATCTAGAACTCCGTTAGTGTTAATTTAATAAATATATGTTTTAAAAAATGATTTAGAATAAATAATATAAAATTATATAGACTAATAGTAAGAAAAACCAATTAATCAAATAAAATTGTATTGAACATTACAAATATAAAAATACTGTTAAATAATATTCATCCAAATATTCATTACAAATTTAATGTGTTTCCAAAAAAAAAAATTAAACTATAATAATGGTAGAGTTGGAAGAGGAGGAGGAGGAGGAGGAGGAGGCTAATTGTTCTCAGGACCAAACAAAAAAATAGGGATCACACATGTATAATCACTTATCTTTGATTTAATATTCATGATCATTTGACATAGTTGTTCATAATCCGTTGAGAGTCGCTTGTATTATTGTTTCAAGGCCGTGAACTCCTCAAACTAGGTGCTCGATACTGATTGGGAGCTCTCATCGGATGAAACACTACAGGTTGCCTCCAAGTTCTCGACTGTAATGTTAAAGAGCCGGTACACTTGATTTTTATTAGGTCTACCATATCGCAAGTCACCCGCGCGACGTTAGCTAGTGATTTTTTAGTTTTTGTTTGATTTGGTTCGTTAGGAGTTGCCACTAAGTATTTAATTAAGGGTTAATAGAAAACCCGAGTGTACTAATCTTGTCAGAGATTCACGGGTAAGGGACTGATTATGGTTAGGGAAGGTATTAGCATTCCTAATGCTCCCTACTTGAGATAAGCTACTCCGTGACTTTGATGTGTTAAAGAAGTTTTAAATTTCTTTTCTTTTCATCGGATATTAGAAATACTACTCACATATAAGTTCATAATTCTTTACCGTGAGCAAATCAAAATATTAAATTCTTTTTTATTCTTTACAATTTTACCATATGAAAAAAATCCATAAATAAATTAATAAAATTCAAACACACACATACACTTTACTATATTTTTTCCTTTTTTCCTTTTCCTTTTTTTTTTACATACTCACTACAAATTATAATTCATTCTCCCATCAAGGTATATGGAGGCTAGTACCTAATCTTTATAAACAAATCTTGTTTTATGATTTTTTATGAGTTTTTAATAATTAAGCCAATAATTTTAGAGAAAAAAATATAATAATATTTTCGAAAAATACTCTAAATTTCGCATCAATCATAGGTTAAAATAATTTTAGAGAAAAAATAATAATATTTTAGAAAAATATTCTAAATTTCGCATCAATCATAGGTTAAAAAGAAAAACTTGTAAAAGACCTTTTCGGTGGGCTCTACTAATAAAGACTTAGCTTTCTTCTTTTTTTTTTTAAATTAAAATTTTATATGTTTTTAAATAGTTTTATTATGCTAATATTAAAAATAATTTAAATAAATAAATAAAATACTATTTTAGTATATTTCTAAAAAAACAATCCCTACTTAAATATGCAGCTTGTAATCAATTAAGAAGTGGAACCTCTTACCTTTGTGCCACGGTGGTTTCTCCTCTCCTTCATTAGCTTACATTTTATTTGGTGAGTTTCTCTAAACTATTTAGAAAATGAATAAAGTCACCTATATTGATCATATCTTGTACAAAGCTGCAGAAGAAGGCAATATCGTTCCCTTTGAGAATTGTCAAACATGCCTTGATCGGTTATTGACTCCAGACAAGAACACAATTCTTCATGTCTACTTAAGAAACCAAACGAGGGAACCGGAATCCACTAATTTTGTTGATAAAATTCTTGAAATGTGTCCACCACTGTTATTCCAAGCCAATAAGAAAGGTGAAATCCCACTCCATTTGGCAGCAAGATATGGCCATTCCAACGTGGTAGGAGTCCTCATTTACCGCGCAAAAGCTCTACCTACAGATCCAGAGAGCGGAGTAACAGAAGCAAAAAAGATGTTGGGGATGACCAATGAAGAGCAAGATACAGCGTTGCACGAGGCAGTTCGAAATAGCCAGAGCCATGTGGTGGAAATATTGACTACAGAGGACCCGGAGTTTTCATATTCCGCCAATGTTCATGGAGAACCACCACTTTATATAGCTGTTTTCGAAAAACGAAGAGAAGTGATCGATGAAATCTTAAGAAATTGCATTTCAGTGGACTATGGCGGCCCTAATGGTGGAACTGCTTTACATGCGGCAAGCTCGGCGGGAGATGATGGTAGGATTTTGTGCTCAAGTCTGGAGAATAAATTAATTATTTATACATAATTGTGCAAAGTATTATTCAAAAGCCAAATATATTTGATTTTATATATCCCTGTGCTAAAACAAAAGCTAAAATTAACTGTGTTTATTTCAAAATCCAAATAAATCAGCATTTTTTATTTTAAAGCAATAAAATTCTTTGTGTGTTTAAGTAATTCACATGGACTATATGAAATCTCTGCTGGTCATGAAGGAAAACACTTGAGATGAATGCATTCTACAAAATAAGAAATGGAATTTAATTATTGTAAGTGATCAGCCCTGTCATCTTTTCAAATCAAATAATTAGCTAATCTATATTCCTTGTTTTGTTGGTTTCAGGGACAGCAAGAAAAATACTAGACTATTATCCGTCGGCAGCCTACATTGCTGACACAGAGAAGAAGAGAACAGCTCTTCACATTGCTGCTATTCACGGCAATGTAGACGTAGTGAAAGAGATTGTTTCTCGTTGTCCAGCTTGTTGTGAGCTAGTTGATCACAGAGGTTGGAATGCTCTTCACTATGCTGTTGCCAGTCAAAAAAGGAATGTATTGGAGGAATGTCTGGACATTCCCGAACTTGCAAGACTTAAAATGATAAAGGAAACACGCCCTTCCATCTAATTGCTGCTTTAGCGCACAAGCAGAAGCAATGGAGACGTGTTTTAGATGAACATAGAGATGAATGTGAAAGCGATATATTTGGTCTTAATAAGCGAAAGCTAAGGGTCTACGACATACTCTTCATAAATTTTGCTGAGATAAAGGTAATCCTCTCTATGACTTAACTGTCGCGATGATTAATGTATCTATTTTTTTAAAAAAATTAATGTATCTAATACACACACATGATAATTAATGGATCTATTTAAAAAAAAAAAAATTAATGTATCTAATACACACACACACACACACACACACATGACGATCCATTAAAACCCTTTTGCAGAAGAAAATCGATGCAGGGGCTCCGTAATTCATACATATACTGGGAAATTAATTATTGAATGAAATGAGTAGTTTTTCGTTTGAATGATATAAAGTCGATTACTTTGTGCAAAACAAAGGATCGTGAGTAATTGAAACTATTATTAGTATATAAAATTGTACTAAAAGTCCACATCGTAATTTGGCTAATGTAAAAAAATGCCGTTTTTCAACCAATTTAGTCTTTGTTACCTGCTAATTATCTATAATATTTAAAGTTATAAAAAGGATTTGATTGCAAACACACTTAGTTAGTGGAAGCAAAAACAAAGGCTCGGGAGTTGATAATTGGCTAAAAATGATGGATTATCTACATATTTCACCCAAAATATTTTGCAGAAAGAGATCTTTGAATCCGTCGAAGATGTTGCCAGTGGACCGTTTGGCAACCTTAACGTTCGTGTGAGAGGACAGAATGAGGAGGAAAACAAAGAGGAAGAGGAAGCTATGAGTAAAGCAAGAGAGTCTCATCTAGTTGTTGCGGCACTGATAGCAACTGTAACATTTGCAGCAGCATTTACCCTACCTGGCGGTTACAATAGCGACCCAGGTCCAAATAAAGGCACTGCAATTCTAGCTAAAAAAGCTGCTTTTATAGTATTTGTCATATCAGATGCAATGTCAATGGTGCTCTCTATTTTTGCCGTGTTTATCCACTTTTTAATGGCGTTGAATCAAGGTTTTAAATTGGATAAGAATACAGAGATGTATGAGGTTACCAGTTTGAAATTATTTATGTTGGCCACGTTGTTGACCATGATTGGCATGGGAACAATGATTATTGCATTCCTCACCGGCACATATGCAGTTCTAGAACCTTCCTTTGGGCTTGCCATTAGCGCTTGTCTCATTGATCTGAGCTTCTTCTTCCTTGTTTGTGTAGTGTTTAGGATCATTTACAAGGATGTAAAAGATATGGTGTAATAGTGAAACAATCAATTTCACTTTGATGGTTTGTTTATTAATCAAGATTGCACTTGCAAAGTGTTTGCTTTTTATTTTTAAAAAGAGTTATTAGATTTTTTTTATTTTAATTTTTTTATAATTTTATATTGTTTTAATGTACTAATATCAAAAATAATTTTTAAAAATAAAAATAAATATCCTATTAAGATATAAAGATAGAGAATGGTTCGAGATATTAGATATACAAATGAGTTATGGGTAACATTTCAAACTAAGTTGTAATGTTAAAAAAAAAAAAAGCTACGAATATGTGGACCTGTGTTTTGATAGCATAAAATTCTTAAATTGAAAATTGAAATGATGATGTTTGTTTTTTAAAAAAAACAAATTAAAAATATTTGAATTAATAAATTGAATGGTTAATTTAATTAAAGGCTTAAACAGTTGGGTTTTTTTTTAAAAATAAATAAATGCAAGTGTAAATATTTAACCTAGTAACATGGTTGTTTTTTTTTAATTGTATTAAAATAAAAATAAGTGCTCATGATAAAGATAGTTATTTGAATTCTTGGGGAAAAGAAATATTTTTAGTTAAAAAAATAATTTTTAAAATTAAAAATAAATAAATTATTCTATATATTTTTAAAAATAACCAATCATTAATATTACACGGTAACAAAACTATTAAAAGTGGGATGTGCCAAGTTTCAATGTTCTTCGTCTCTGTGTAAGCTAGCTAGCTAGCTTGTTCCATGAAGTGCATGTATGGTTGGAATGTTCCCATCGACTTCATTTGGTAACAAGTTAAATCTGATAAACTTGCTTTTTTTTTTAGATTAATATAGATATCTAGACAAGATATATCTCAATTAATTTTATAAATTTTAAAATTAATATTTATATAAATCTTTAATAAGAATCTACTAATTTCTAAATAGCAAACTAAACCGCTATTAAGATATAAAGATAGGGAATGGTTCGAGATATTAGATATACAAACGAGTTATGGGTAACATTCCAAACTAAGTTGTAATTTTAAAAAAAGAAAAGAAGAAGAAGCTATGAATCTGTGGACCTGTGTTTTGATAGCATAAAATTCTTAAATTGAAAATTGAAATGATGATGTTTGTTTTTTTATTTAAACAAATTAAAAATATTTGAACTAATAAATTGAATGGTTACTCTAATTAAAGGCTTAAACAGTTGGATTTTTTTTAAAAAAAAACAAAAAATAAATGCAAGTGTAAATATTTAACCTAGTAACATGGTTGTTTTTTTTTTAATTGTATTAAAATAAAAATAAGTATTCATGATAAAGATAGTTATTTGAATTCTTGGGGAAAATAAATATTTTTAGTTAAAATTCTCTTTTCATATTATTTTTTTTAATTGGAAAAACATATCTTTTCTATAATGGCAATAAAGTTTTTTGGATAAAAAATTAAAAAAACTAATATAGAAATTAGAAAAATTGTATTGATTTAAAATAAAGAGTGAACAATGTATCCAATCAAAACTCCTTTTTTATTATTAATGTGTTTCTTTCTTTCTTTTTTGTTACAAAAACCTGTTTTTTTTTAAGAATTATTGTTCTTTTAAGTTAATACTTATCAAAATCACACACACACACACACACACACACACACATATATATATATATATGTTTTAGAATTTCTTACTTTGAAGATTTAAAATAAAATAAAGAAACACATTAAATAAAGTTATTTTAATCCCTATGACAGATAACTTTGCCATCAAATCCCAACATGAATTTTAATCAACGTTCTGCCATTCTTTACGGCGAGCTCAAGATGAAATTTTCTGGGAGAGTATCAAACTTGCAAACATGTATGCATTGTTCCTTGGCATCTCACAAAAGAGAGTGTGTGAAGGAGGAGTGCATCAGGTAAATTGCTAATCCTATCACACATAGATTCTTTCTTTTGACGCTTTGCATACATGTTTGCAAACATGGGTTTTGGAGATAAGTGTTCAGATTGCAAGTGAAACTGAAAAAGACGACGACGACCCCCCCCCCCCAAAAAAAAAAAAAAAAGCTTATAGAATCTCTTATAAAATTTGATCTCCACCAATCATCGAGTCTCTTGTTATTTTTGTTGCTGGGGTTGCGATGGTAGAGACAAAGAAGAGTTTTGCAGAGAGGAAAGAGAGAGAGAGAGAGAGAGAGAGGTGATGCGACCACCACGTGAGGTGGTTGGGTGTTTAATTGTGGTGTATATTGTAATGGGAAAGACATTGGTGAGAGTGATGGTGGCCGAAGGTGCGACTAAGAAGGAGAAAGAAGAGAGAGAGAGACGACAGAAAAAAGAGAAAAAAGGGGAGGGAGGCTAGTTTTTTGTCAACTTTGAACTCGATTTTCTTCATACTCATGCCATGAAATCCACCTCTATTTATAGATGATGGAAGAGGGTAATTTTATCTTCATTGTGGAAAAACTTTTAGCCCTTGATTTAGCTGGGAAAGATTTCATCCGTTGGCTCAACCGTTGGCTCAAAGTCAGCAACCTTGAACTATCAAAGAGGCATCATAAATTGTCAAATTTGACAGTTTAAGGTTGCCTAAATTAGCCTATTTAGGCCAGTGTCATGTCCTCTGTGGTGCTAGTAATCCGGTAAGGAGCGTGGATGGATGTCGAGGGATTAGTTTCGTGCAATTATTGCTAAATATAGTGAAGGATAACTATATTAAATGCACCTGCAAAGTAGGTAAGTTAATCCAATTTTCTACGTCAACAATTTTTTTGTCAAAGTTCAATTGGATCCCTAGATTTATGTGCTTTTTGCACTTTGGTCCTTCATCTTGGATTTATACAATTGAACCCCTAATTAAGTATCAAACTTTCCATTTCTTCAATTTCACCATCTGTTGTTTGTCAATTGGGTCCCTAAAGTTTGGCCCTTCTTGCAAAATGGTCCTTGAATGTGAATTTCTTCAATTTAACCCCTAATTGACCCCAAAAACTTTAATTTTTTTTGAAAATTTGCCCTGATTTCAAATCAATTAACTTAGTAAAAATGAAATTTAGTCTCTTAAAATTCTAATCTTCTCAATTAAGAACAAATTATCTTTCAAATTTAATTTCTCACCAATTAAGCCCTTAATACCAATTTAAAGTATAATTAAGTCCTTGCATGCAATTAAATCCTTTAATTGGACTCAAATTAATTCTTAAACATAATTAAAATTCAGTGTGACCCATAATTAAATCAAATTGGCCTATTAAAAATTTAATTATATCTTTGGACTTATTTTTATACAAATGCATTTAATAATCATTTAATTTGACCTTGAATTTATATTTTTTTATACATTTTTGGGCATAATATGGTAGAATTAGGTCTTGAATTTTCTCTAAAATTGCAGTTGTATTCCCTAGCCTGCTTTCTCCGCATCGTCAGTCTTTATTTTATTTTATTTTATTTATTATTATTATTATTTAAAAAAAAGAAATTTTAGAGAATAACACAGAATTGGGTTATGACAATGACCATTTGGCGGAGTCTTTCATGATCCGCCAAGAGTTCCTCATACTTTTCGGTGAGATTAGCCATGTGTTTTTGCAAGGTCACGAACTCCATAAACTAGGTGCTAGATGCTGATTGGGAGCTCCTAATAGTTGAGATACCATGGGCCGCCTGCAAGTCATTGGTCATAGTGTTAAAGAGTCCGTACACCCGATTTATATTGGTTCCACCAGACGATCTTACCTCCATCTACAAATCTAGATCGAAATCCAAGTGGATAGAAGGATTGTCCCCATATCTCTCCCTCAACCAGCTATTATATGTTTCCTAAAAATTAAAAAAAAAATCATTAAATTCAATTCAAGAAAATAATAACATGCAAAAGAAAATGGTTGAATGAACATACCACAAAATGTTGAGTGCGGTTATCGACAAACTGTCACACCAACTTTTGGCAGTCTTGACTCTACTACATGTGCGTCTCTACAAACAACTTTATTGGGCTCGACTCATATCCAAAAGATGTAGTCTTTTAGAAAAAAAAAAGTTACAAGTTAAATATATTTATAAATAACAACAAATTAAAACTGACCCATTAAGCAAGCCTTTATTTATCATCACAACACACCTAAGTCAGTAATTCAAAATAAGTTTAATCAATTTACAAACAAATATAATTTTACACAATCTAAAACAAATTAACCATAACAAGCATAAAATTGTAAATCCATACTACAAGTTTGTTTAAGAAAAAATAATAAAACAAGTAAACACCAAAATAAAATACATATACTAAAAAAACACTTAATAATAATAAAATTGATATTTTAATGTTTAGATTAAAAAAGGTAGACTTACTGACTAAAAATATAAAAAATCCATAATAAATCAGAACACGGATGTTGTGACTATAGAAGTTAAAGAAGGGTGATTGATTTGTGTTGAGATGATAGGGGATTTTTGGGGTGTGGTTGTTTGCAAGAGCAGGGGTTTGTTTTGTTGCAAGGGAGGGGTGGGTCGTTGCAGGCATATATTTCTGTCTGTCACTCCGTCGACAATTCTATTGGTGAAGTTGACACATCAATGTACGAAGATTCCGGTTTGAATCCCTTTGTAATTTTATTGGTAAAATCATCCACAAAAACTTTCACGCC